TTCATTCGGCACAAAGTATGCAGAACATGTATCTAGCGCATTATGCCACTTTTTTTAGAAAAACGCTTTCTTATTCTCAATGCACAACATCTCTCCAGGAACGCGCTACAGCCCAATATCCAAAAAAAAGCCGGTTGCTGAGTCGCCTAGTAATATTTCAGTTACAAAATACATGAAAACTTTAACCAAAAAAAAAAAAAACACTAGCAAATGCGAACAAACAAACAGAGGTCTGTAAACTTGTAAATCATTTAATCACCACATGCTGATAACTATGACGCTATTGCGAACAGGGTCAGTATATAACGAAAAGTATCTCTAAACACATTCTTTAAGCGAAAAAATGAAAATTAGCAACTCCCCAAAAAACAAAAAAAACCACTTATAAGATATGAATCTCTATGGCTCAGTTCTGGAAGAATAACAGGCAACTAACACCAATTCAGAAATAAAAGTAACTGTACGTAAAAATGCAGCTGCTATTAGAAATCACTGACAGTCTTGTTCTGAAAAAACTGTGACTTTTCAGCCACAAAAAACATGCATAAATATTTCTAAATGTATTTTGGTTCCGTGAAGAACCACATGAGTTCAGCAAATTTAGTTGCAACTCAGAACCCAAACGTATCTTTGAGGATAATTTGTCGAGAGTTCCGAAAATCGCTGAGGTGAAAAGAAATTTAAGCTTATTTCTTATGGTACTTATTTTAATCAGTTGTTTAATCCTCGTTTTTCAAGATGAATTATAAGCCACAACTTTCACAGGTGAAAAACCAAGAAAAAAAAATCACGATTCTAACAATATAATTTTAATTAAGATGAAAAAAAAGTCAAAATCCAAAACTCCTTCCGTATTCGCCCTCAGTAAGAGACTTTGGAAGTGCCTCTCTCTCCCACTGACGGCGCGTACGAATGTGGTTTTTGACTTTTGACAAATGTCAACAGTAACCATCCGTTGAAAAGGGTTCTCTCTTTTAAGTGTTGCTTACAAGCAAGTTGATGGCGGACTGATTCCCTGGCATATGCCAGTACTAATCTACCACCAAAACGAATGAACGAATGGTAAAGGCGTTCATTTTCTCAACGGCGAAATCCAACCTTCGGCATACAGCATGACAACAATGTTACCCACTCTGCTATGCATGCTATACAATAAAAAAAACACAAAATGATCAGCATGAAACTATTATTAGTTCTTTCACCCATCCGTATAAATCAAGCGCTTGCCGCCGAGGGGATCCGAAGCAAGGTTCTGTTCCTTTTTCTTTACGCAGGCCTGCCCTTATGCATTTTGGTAGCATACTTTATCCAAGGATTATCCCCTTTAACAAAAGAATGCCACCAAAATGATTACATCTTTAACTAGAGTATGCTGCTGCAGATGACTGTGAAGGAGCCAATAATGCTTCCATACGGAGTATTAATTGAACAAGAACTAAAATATAAGAA